GGAATGGAAGTGGTACGAAAGCAGCAAATTACCTTCCGAGAATTCCACATGGCGTGATGGTTGGCCAGATTCATGAATTTGTACACCAGGTCTGGTTGATTGAGATCACTAGCCAGTGAACAAAGCTCCTTGTAGGTAGAAAGGCCTTGACTTTGTAAAGCAGAAGGCAAATCAGTGTCATGTTTTCAGCCACATAAATGCCATAATAGCTAAAATTACAGTCAAATCACTGCCTAAAGCAGAGAGAAATGAATACTCTATCCGTACTACAAGAAAACAGTAGCGGTAACTCAGAACAATGAACAAAAAGATCAGGAAGCAGATTTATAAGCAAGGAAATACTGTTTCAGCACTGTTTGTGTGTTGATCCTATCAGTAAACTTACCCATCTGGGGTTTTGCTCAGGCCACCCTGAAACACCACAGTTTCTCCAGTCATCTCATGTTTGGCTCTAGCAGAAAAGAGGTCTAATATTAGCCTTATGAAAGTTTACCCTTGAATGGACTGCATGCTACAGAACAAGTTAATTTGTTTTGCTTTATTAACTCAGTAACCTCACATTCTTTCAGTTTCAATCCCATCAAAAAAACCCAGAGATATGCAACACCACACGCACTGCAAGGAATCTCATTACCTAGCATCATATGCAATGTTACCAAGACACTGTAGAAAGTGAGTGCTTTGCTGTGCAGTCACAGAATAAAAAGTCAAAATGCTGCATGACAGCTTTTTACTTCTGCCCAGACACAAGTCATATAACGGACAGTAAATCTCCAAAATGAAGAAATCCAATTTCTACTCATGTAATCTCTGCCTGCTTACCATCACTGGATCCCCAAACTCCCAGCCAAGTTTTCTGTCATTCACATCCACACCAGGTTAGATAGAGTCAGGCTGCTAAAGAGAACTGACCAACATAATTCTCAAGACCAGTACTTTTTGCACTAAGCTGACAAGTGATCACTTGTAACAGTTCCTCAGCAGAAGGCACCTTGCATGCACAAGCAAGTCCCCAATTCTGCAATATCACCACTGCTGCTGCAAGAGGGTATTGTCCTTCACAGTTACACAATGCAGCAAGTATGAAATCTAACCAAACCGCAGCTGATTTGAACTGCTTCAATCAGGACTGAATCATTGTTTTGAAGCTTTGTTGAAAGGAGCAAACCAGAACAACTTCAGTCACAAAAACTCTAAGCTGTACTAAGAAACGTCCTAGCTTGCTGCACTGGGAGTATGGGGATATTGCCTTGCCCTTGGCCACAAAACATCTCTTTCTACATGAGAGGCACATTTTTTTTCCATTAGACACATAACTCTGAGAACTCTCCCACTTGCATTCTGATCTCAGTACCTTTTCCCAGTCATAAGGGTATCAACAAGCGTGGTGACTAGCTCTTGTTGATCCTGTTCACTTCCTAGTTCGTATATCAGTCCGAGACCTTTGGAAGCAACATCTTGACTAAGCTCTGCAAGAGATTTTACAAAGTAAAATTAAATATAAGCAGGTAATTAGGTAACACACAAATTTCAAAACCAAGATTCAAGCAAAATCATGATCTAGCAAATGGAGCTCTCTGCTGCAGCCCACAGCTCTCCATTTTAGAGCAGTCCAGTCTGGGCAAGACACGAACTTTGCATTCTGATGCAGCAATTTGTCCTGAAGGCATACCCCCCACCATATTAGGCAACATCTTCAAGTTAACATTGTCACTGCAGGTTTTGAAATAGCAGAGAGAGTTCCAAGAGCCATTTGTAATCTGACAGACCACTGGCCCATGAGGTCCAGTACAGTTACTGGCAATACTCTCCTACTTCAGGCAGCTTTGCATAGGATGCCGAATTCCACCCTTTCTGCTAGCTGCCATGGATAGACCTAAAAATCAAAATTTGCCAGCTTAGAGAGAACTTAAAGTTCCTGTCCACACAGAACTCTGTGTTACACATCCTGCTTCCCAAAGCACAATGTGCTTGATTAGCAAAGCATGGCAAAAAGCTGTGCTTCTTATCTCTACATGTGACATTTAGGAAAAAAAATCATTCCTGTTACACCGGAAATGGGATGTTTCTGCAGTCATCTTTTAATGCTAAGTGGAAGAGACGGTGTAACTCACTTTCTGCCTCTTCAAAGATTCCCTCCATTATGTTAAAAGCCCACAAAAAAATGTGATAATACTTACCATCACTATCTGACAGAATTGAAACAAAAGCACTTTGAATGTCCTTAAGATGAGACTGTAAGATAAGAGAAAAGGACGTTATTTTTATCTCAGGGTTTGGATCCTTTGTTTGGTCTCAAGGCAAGCTGCTAACAGATAAACAGAGGCTACTCTGCCAATGGAGTTGCTTGTTTGAGCTATACCTATGACAAGAACTGCCCACTCTTCCAGACAGGTAAGCAGCAGCCTGGCTGACATTTACAGAAGTTAACAGTTATTTCTCTGTCACCTTTTTACAGCTACCATGCCATTAGTAAATCACATATCTTTTTTTCTTGTCTAGTACATGGTAGTAATGAGTCATAACTGTGGCTTGCAGCTAGATGGGGCTATCCTGTGTGCGAGGACATCTTCATCCCCAAACTAGTGGACTTTGTGACCTTCCACAAGGTCCATTGTTTACACAAATGTAGTATGTGGGAAGGTTTTACATGTAAAACCTTACACTTGCAAAGCACCAACTGTCCCAAAGCTCGCTACCATGAGCACAAAATGGTTACATGGTCCCATCACAGTCAGAGAGAGAATATTTTGGCTGTGAATGCTTTATAAGCTCTTGTATAGGACCTTTCATATTCTCTTGTTTCAGAGAAGCATGCTAAATACAAGGTTTTCCTCAAAGCCCAGCAAAACCACACAATATGCTAAGCACATCATAACTGGTCCTAGGTACCAAAGGTGTGATAAACTCTGTGAAACAAATAAATCAGGAATCCCATCTAGTTCTCTCTCCTCTTCCCCTCCCAGACTTCCTTTTAATATTTTCCAAAAATAAATTCTAAAAAGTGCTCTGACACTAGTCTCTTCTTCCCAAGGAAAGATGTACCGCTACTTCATCTTAGATCAACTATTTACCCTAAGCACACTCTGACCTGAGTGCAAGTCTGAGGTTTACAAAGGGGCCAAACAGATTTGTTTATCTGCCAGTTAGTTTGCTCCTCTAGTAACAAAAGATAAAACACATCTCCAAAAGACTTCAGTAAGGGCTGCGCGAGCATTGGGGAAAAAGAAGCGATGGAAGCAAAGGGGAAGGAAGGGACAGCAAGGAGAAGCAAAAATAGGGACAAGTCAGTGTTAGCAAAGGGCATATTTCTTACCTTAATTGCTTTGTGCGTGCTCAGCTTCTTCACCATTGACAGTAGCCAGATGCAAGCTGCCTGCCTAATGTGTGGGTTGGGGCTGACAATGTGCTTGTTCAAAATAAGGTCTAGGACCCAGGGAACCACATCATTCACTTTCAAATCTATATGAAAGAAAGAAAGGCGGAGGTGGGGGGAGCTTTGAGAATTGTCCGCACCAGTTTTAAATTTCAATACAATGTCCAGAGGTAATTAAAAACCTAATCAGCCCATGAGCACTCAGGTGAAACCTTAATCTCTACTTATTTAGGAAAAGCTTTCACTGGAGTGGCTGGGAAAGTACTTCTCCTAAGAGAAAGACTGAAGAGAGTCCTAATTCTTCGTGAAAGTGTTTCAGAGCCTGCTGCCAAGAAGAGGTACCACTCATACTGCGTAAGACTCAGTGTACTTCTTTCATTTTGTAAGGACCCAAACTTTCTGAAGCAATGAACAGTAGGATTCGGTTCCTATCCCATTCTGCACATACTCTGCCTTGGGAGTGCTAGAAATCTAAGACCACTCACATCATTAAAACATTTGTCTGCAGGTCTGAGGCCGATATTTTCAGCTGCCTGTTTGGAAGCTAGCATTCTGCCATGCTTGTATTTAAATGGGTATAGAATCTTAGTCCCTAAATAAAAATTCTGTATTTACTGCATACAAATGTCACTTAATCGTATAACTCCAAGTAGTTGTTAGAAGACTTGCAATTTTATTTTATAACTCTGCTTTCCAGTGCAGGCTTCAAAATGTTATTTTAAAAGGTTTCTGTATGTTAAACTTGAAACTATCCCAACATGGAAAAACAAAATGAAAATGCAGTGTCAAGTGGCAATGACTTAAGATTTCATCAACCAGTTACTTAAATAGCACCGTCCGAGTAGATGGACTTGAAGAGGTGAAATGACCTGTTTATAAATCAGCATTGTAGAACACCAAGCAGTGCATTAACAAACGTAAAACGTCTCTTGCTTCTACTATAGTAAATCAAACATCGTGGAAGTTACAGAGCCCAGTGTTAGTCAAGAACTGTGAGATTTTATGGCCCTCAGCACAGACTGTGTATTAGAAAGGCATACCTGGGGGAGGGATATATTCCTCCTCTGTGACTGTCCATGCATCACGTGCGGCCACTGAGCTGGTTCCTACAGCTGCGCTGGTAATAGCTTCACCAACGGTGAACTGCAGTTCTATTTGCTTGGCCTGAAAAACACAATAGAGCTTCAATGACAGTACTAATTAAACACACACTTCTGGTGCTTACTCCACAAAACCATAGTTTCTTTTCTCAAGCCCTGTTCTCAGCACCGATCTGCAAAAAGGTCATTCCTTTGGTGAGCTTCTGAGACTATGTGGCACCTTGGATCCACTGAAATTGATGTAAACTAAGCCAATGTCAAGCTCTTCAAAAAGAATGCTAAGATTTAAGATTTCCACACTTATTTTTAAAGAGTACTTCCTACAAAGCATTTGCTAATCTCTGCAGAAGTTTAACTTAGTCAACAGAAAGAACTGGAGACAGGATGAAAATAAAACAAAGTTAGAACAAGACTGCCAGTCATTAATGAAAATTACTGCGTCTTTGTTATAGCACACAGTAGTAAAAGATTCTCCTGTAATTCCAACCATAAGTTGATCCGTAAGTTGAGATGCACAAATATTTCACATTAAAAGAACTCAGACAATACTTTGATTTGTTTCTCCGTTCTCTTTCCACTATTTTCTAAGCCCTCAGAAACAGAAGGTGCAGAAGTCTGCCACTTTTTTGTCATTATTTATAATGAATCTTGAGTCCTAAGAACTGATTTCCATACCTGCCCAGTACCTTCCAGACTGCTTTCCTTACTCTCTGGAAGAACAAAATGCTCAGGCACTTGGAGAATTAAGGCCTTAGCTTTCTGCAATCTAAGATAAATTGGTTTTTTTCCAAGTACGTATTTTATATAAAGAAAGCTGCAACATCCCTAAGTGGTTACAGGAGATAAACACGGCACTAAGAAATATCATTTAGTGTACAAAATTTTTGTTTGTTTGATCATGTCCAACCAGAGCACTCGGCAAAGTCAACCTGTCTGATACTCAACAGCTGCTGAATCTTATGTCAATATGAACAAGGAGGAAAGGTAAAACAAGCTGTAAATAAGAACACTAAAAAAACCTCCTCGACTGTCTAGTTTTGCTGTCTGGCATACCGAAATATGCACTGCAGCTCTGAAGTACTGTGAAAGAACGTAGTGCACTACATTGATGCACTTAAACAGATATGTATATTCCTATAACTAAAGCTTCTAATTCAAGCGAATTGTACCAGCTGATACCGTTCAGATGTAAAAGAAGGTGTATTTTTATTATCTACTTTTTGAAGGCCAAAAGACAGGGTTTTTCTTGAAGGTCTCTTCCAAGTGAAACTGTTCTATGATTCTGTGGCTTCAATACTGTAAGACTGGGGCAGAGATCTCAACTGGCAAATTTTCAAACTGTGGCATAAAACAGTTTAGAAGTCCCAACCAACCTCCGCGCTCCGTTTCAAAGCAGTTATAAAAACCAAAAAGACAGTTCCCCTGGGCTCTAGAGTATATAAAAAGCATTCAAACAGAAACACTTACTGCAGTATAAAGCTTAATACATTGATAGCACCTCACCTCCACAGAATCCATTAAACCCTGCAACAGCAGCTTCTGGTGGGGAAAATCTTCATCTCCCACTGGGAAGTAACCCAATGTTTGTATTGCTCTTTCCTTCATCTTAAATACAAACAAAAAAACAGATACCATCACATAACTTCCCTGTAAATCCAGAAGATAAACTTTAAACCCACTCTTCCTCAACCTTGCTAACGTTTCACTACCAGAAGTTAGACAGGCAAGCGGCTTATTAGATCAATCAATACACCTCTCTTCCAAAACACAGATGAAAACAAACGTCCAATCCTCTGAGGATTGTTTCACGTAAAGATATTCCCATTTTTCCTGAATTAAAATTATGCCCAGACATAGTTTTCATCTCTTAAGTTCCTACTTATGGCTACAGAAAGCACAAGTAATCAACTACTAGAAAAAACTACTGGAAAAAACCTTAGCCTAATTCTGAAAATACTTAGTCAAATTCTGACTCACTAAAGTCAACGACAAGCCTAATTCCTAAAAAAACCCCGAGGCCGAGTTTGGCAGGTAATACATAAACCTGGGGACGGGGCATTCTATAAACGAACAACACTACAAAATCTTGCCTTATTTGTTTCCTTGCTGGAAGGGATTCGGGCCAATAAGCTCTCAACAAGTTGCAGCTTTGTAAATCCTGTTCCTTCACTGGGAATTGGCAAGGGGCCGTTCCTGCCAATTTCCCCAAGAGCCGTGCAAGCAGCCACCACGAGGAAGGGAGAGGTGCTGTCCAGAAAAGAACCTATCGGAAAAAGCAGAATAGGATTACTTGGATTTTACATTAATATTTAGTAGTGGGAAGGCAGACACTTATATTTCACCCATGCGAGAAGCAAAGCGCTTATTCTCTACAGCTGGTAGGAAGCACTATGCTAGAAGAAAACCAAAGTGAAAGGAGACACTAGGCAGTGGCACCATTTGTAATTGTGCTATGTTGGTCCATGAGCAAAGAGTCCGCCTAATTCTTGTTGAAAAGTGCTACATCCAGACATCTAATCACATGAAACTTTTACAGGCTATAAATTCTATCACAGAAAGAGAACTCAAGATCATGGTATCTACATGATGATGGAAAAGTTCTCAGCCTGGGTGACTGGAAAAACAACTATTAGATATAGCAAAGCCTCAGGCAGGAAGTTACCTATTGTCTCTGTCGTCGACTTTATGAGCTGATCTTGTTCTGGCATGACTGCAGTGTTTGGCTGTTCCATATCATGTAGCTCCATCGTTCTTATTTTCCCTTTGGCCAGGTACCTTCCTACTGTAAATCCCAAAGCCAACAAGGATCCATGTTGGACCTCTGGGCTCTACGGACAACACCAAAAGGAAAGAGAATCTTATTTTCAAAGTAACTCTTTGCACGAAGCACTGATTTAAAAACACATATGGACAAGTCAGATGAGAAGACATCCTCACAAAAGCAGGGTTTTAACACATAATGCAACAACAGAGTTTGATACTGCTAGTGCTCTCTGCCCACCAGAGTCCTTTCAAATATATCAACAAGACTTAGAAGAGGCGCAGGAGGACAGATTAAGAACTTTTAGCATCAGCACTCATACTCCTAAAGTCTACCACCTGGTAGCTAGGCAAAAAGAAAAAAGTGAAAAAATACAATTAATGCGAGCTGCAAGTACAGACTTATGAGGGTGAACTAAGATAATACTATGCTGTCTCTACTTAAAAACTGGACATATTCAGATTAAGGAGACAAAATACACTCTTTGGTAAAAAGCAATAACAGGAAATTACTCTAGATTTGTACTGCTAAGAATGTGAACACACTTGACCTACAAATACTGAAGGCAAACTTGACTGATGAATATTGAAGGCAATGCATCTACACAGTTCAGTAGGCCACAGACTATGAAATCTAATTACTGCAATTAAATGTCAAGAACATTAATTTCTCCAATGTTGATCTGGTGCTGAAACTACCTAATGGTGGTGCTCTTTCTCACTGGTGAATTCTAACAAAAATATTTTGTGCAGAAATAAGGCCGTGTGACTTAAATGCTACTTTAATTTTTTTTTAAAAAATGAAGGGGGCAGGATCTTAAATTCAGATTAGTTCATGTATCACATTTTTTATCATGACCCTACAAAAAGTCGTATCAGTGCAACTGTGCTACCACGATGAAATTATGAACTTAGCCTGATCACTAGGGGCTTCTCCTTGTTGTGCTCTCACAGCGCTACAGTCAGCTGAAAACAGTTTATTCCCCTGTGCCCAGCATTTCATGTATGCTGCAGTCCTTAGGAGACTCTAGAAATTAGTACCACCTCTAGCTGTGCTCATTCAATTGGGTTTGCACACTCATGGTGAACTAGAGCTCCAACTGACTCAAACACGCGTGGGAACACTTCTTTTTTTTGTTTCGTGGTTCACACTCCTCTTTATTCTCAGTTCTGTGAAAGGTCACCATAGCTTCATGCCTGACGGGGGCAGAAAGCAGAGGTGGGGTCTGGGATCTGTCTGTGCCAACTTCTTGATCACAGAAGCTGTCCTCTGCGTAAGACTGAGCAGTAACATGGCTTTGGAATCACAGACAAAGCTTTCACAGATTCAAAGTAAATCACATTTGTTAACTATGACATAAAGTAGTAAGCACTTCTTGTCAGCATTTGACCCTGTTACCTGCAATGTAAAATTGTGGCCCATTAAGTCCTTTAGAGAGACTGATATAAAAATATCTGTGGAAAATATAACCTAAAAATGCTACTACTTTCCTTTCCTTTAAGGATTCGAGACACACCAGCACAGAAACCCACCCAATTTGTTTTCAGGACTCCTCCTCTATGCTCGTGGTGTAAAATTGAGAGATAAGAATAACAGGAGGGGGAAGAAGCTGCTGGATGAGGGAAGGCAGGGAAACCCACCGTGTAGTAATACAGCAATGGAGGCTGCTGAGCAGTCCATGTGGGGTGGGAGGCAAGGCTGCTGGCAGGACAAGACCCTGGGGCAATGAGGAGCCAGGAGGCAGCTATGGCTCAGAAAGGAGTGAAAGTTAAACATTTAAACAAATTAAACATTTTATTAGTTTCTTTGGGTACTTGTAGTTCCTCACGAATAAGGAAACAGTAAACTGTTTGAGGTAGGTAGTGTGATCCATTACCACACAGTGTAACAAGGAATATTTAGCTAAACGTGCTTAAAATATGTGGCAGTGCTGGCTGTGCTTGGGAAGTGCCTTCAGGAAAACCTCCTACTAACCTTAACAACAGCTTCAGGGATTCATTTATTTAAAACATTTGTTGCAACAAAAAGATTTGTTACAACAAAAATCCCTTCTCACCATCCAGCTGGAAATCAGCTAGTTAATTTAACATGCAGATTAAGACTAATACATCCCAGACACATTGAGATTCAGATTTCCTATCAGTTTCATGACATGAGAAAAAACCAGAAGCACAGACAAAGAAAGGTAGTTACATGGTTGTCCTTTGTCATCTTGATCAGCTGCTCCAAGGAGGCCCTAAGCTCATCTCCAGACATGGTAGACAGCACTACAGAATAAAACAGGGCTGCAAGCTCACGCATTTCTTCTTTGTTTGTGTTCATCAAGCTCTGCGAGAGTTTAAAAAAAACCCCATAAAATATGGAAACAGCTTCTTCTACTGTTTATTATTACTGTATATTCTATTCATACAGAGCTTCAGTATATGAGCACAACTGTCATGTAGCTACATAAATAGTACTTAACTCAGAAACCACTCTTTAAACCGACAGCATTATCACTTAGTAAGAAACAAAGCACTCAATTCAGCAAAGCACTCATTATGTTCAGCGTTTAGGATGAACACTGCCACTAGCTGCAAGAGGATTATCCACCAATTCTGATTTAAAGATGCCAACTGAATGTTTGGCTGAATTTTGTTTTCAGAGAAGAGCTGCCACATTTTGCATTCATAATGAGCGGAAAAAAAACCCCAGATCCTAAAGACACTCTTTTTCCTGACCTACTGGAGGCTTCCATTTCCTTTTCATTAATCGAAGTAGAAAAAAAATCTCTAGAAGTTAAGTCAATTAAATCCAACGGTGACAAAAAAAACAGTGCTCAGGATATCACAGCTCTCAACACAGATTTATCCACTTTGTATTAGACATTCTGTATTACCCAAATTTTTAATAAGTTGAATTTGGGAAGCCTCAGATAATTTGTTAAGATATAATTTTACCTCTGCAATTAATTTCATGTATAATGCAACACATTCACATGAAAAATTCATACCCAAATCTTAGAATGGCTTAGGCCACTGCAAAGAAGGTGAAAATGAGCCAAACAAACGAGAAATGAGATCTGTCAGGCTCGTGAAACATAACTCAAACTCAAAACTTGCATCAGATCACATTGCTGGATTCTAACAAACCCCTGGACCTGTTCCTCCCACTTGGCAAAGAAAAATCGCACAGATGATTTACAACAGTTTCAGTCACCGCCCCTAGAAGCTTAACTTTGCAAACTACCATCAAGCCAAAGAAAAAGAAGGGGTTTTTTCCCTGCAAATGTGCAATACTTAAACAGAGAATGTTTGTAAGTCCTCTCCTTTGAGGTGTGTATCTATACTTTTAAATAAGATGTGCTAAACTGTATGCAGTAAAATGTAGCACAGATATCGGCAGGAGAAAATATCAGAACACATTCTGAATTTTCTTTAACTCAATCAAGTACCATTTGTGAAGCAAATCATGAAAAAGCAGAAAGTTGCCTGAGAAGACAACCTAGGGAAAGCAGAATTGTCCTTTATTCCAATCAGGCTCCAGTTTATCTGTTTTGTTTTTTTTCTTTGAGGCTAATATAAAAATTTAAAAAGGGCTCAAAAAGAATCAGGGATCTAATTCATCTCATTTTCTGAGAAGCCACTCACATCTTCCCAATGAAACATTCCCATTGTTAAAACAATTTCTTCAAAAATTTGCAGAATTTTGTTTTCAGTTTTCTTCTGCTGTTCACCAGAACAAGAAGGAAAAAGGACTGACTATACCAACAAGACCAATGGCACAGATTATTCAGAACACAGAATCATAGAATCACTTCTGTTGGAAAGACTTTTAAGAAATCAGCAACATGAAAGAAAAAAAATAATTTCCCCATCCTGCTACATGTAACATCTCATGACATACTGACTGTAAGCAGAAATACCGGACTTCAAATTGAGTGCATAACTGGAAATACTACTTCCTTCCACCACAGGAAAATGCCAGGTTTTGCTAGTGCCAAATCCTCTCCACTCAAAATACAAACCAAAGGGTTTTCAACATACCTTTATCCAATCCATTTTGTCTACAAATCTGGTTGCTAGTTTTTCCGGATACACTGAAATAACTTCCAGAAGACAATACATGACTGGCAAACCTAAATGGTAATTAAAGACTCATGTTACTAAACAACTGCAGTATTTAAAAGAGTCTAACAAGCAGTGACTAAAAAGAGGCTAAGAAGCATCAGGCATTTCAAAGTATTCATTTGGTGTTCACAAAGAACACCGAATAAAAGGGTATGCTATTTCTCAGAAATATTAGGGAAACTAATAGAAGCAAACATTCTGGTACCAAATTGTTCTAAAGGCATTCAATTGATTTAAGAGTTGTTGCAGATGCGCTATTATCCGAGTGAGGAAGACACAGCATTCACTGGCGAGGAAGCTGCTGAAGACAATGGCCTCATAATTTTAAATATTATGCCAACCACTGCTGCAATTTTACTGTTCTGTTCTCTCCCACCTACAGAGCAGCACAGAAGAGAACACTAAACTGAAGAGCACATAGTCCATGTGCCAACTCTGCAATTGCTAGAGCTAAGTTCAAAGCAGTGAGCATGGTAACTCGTTTCTAGTAAGAAAAGATTTTTTTTCCTCCAAGATGATGCAGCATACAGCTTCTTACCTCCAACACCAGCTAACAGCTGCTGAAGAAGGCCAATATATATGTGTACAGGGTTTGTTTCTGCACTTTTTGAAGAGGAGGAGGAAGAGAAAGATATGTGGTTGCCAGACATGAGGTTTCTTATGTAACGTCCAATGGCTGGAGCATGATCTTGCATATCTGCCAAGCTCTGCGAGGTTGGCACCACACCTGCACTGTGAGCAAGACACATTCGCAGATACAGAACTATCTAAGTAGAGAAGAGAAAAAACACAGGATGCTGAGTGCATGAGGACTTGGAAAACCACAGAAGACACAAAACAAAAGAGCATGCTATTTGCTGTATTTAATGTAACCATACCAAGACAACTTCTTCAATCAAATCTAGACAGAAAAGCCAGCATGGACAAAGAAACAAGTATAAAATACGCCAAATCTTAGGACTGGTTTCTCCAACATGTCAACTCTACAGTGTCTGCATCACTCTCAAAAGACTAAATCATACAGCGTTTTGGTTTATCATCATCTGATGCAACCTCCTTGGCAGGCAGTTTAGCCTGTCCCAATTTGGCATGCATATAAATGCAAACCAGAACACTGCTAATACAGATCTTCCATCGCATTTGAGTTTGTGTCTACAGATCACTGAAGCCAGAGAATCTGCTATGAAAAGAACAGCCTCAAGGAGCGTAACAGGACTTTCGCACAGGATTGCCAGTTTCTTCCTCTGACAAGTTATCCATTAGGTATGCTGCAGTAGAGCAGCCCTCTCACAAATATTCCTCCCAAGTCCATGTGAAAATTCTGCTCAGACTGCTGTCTAAGGACAGGTAGGTTAAAAGACAGAGAGTTAATCCCAACATCTGTTTAAGAGATAAATTCTAGAATGTAGGGTGGCTTATGGTAACTGTTAGTTTCTTACACTGTCCTCTAAAACAGATAATGGTACAGATATCGGAGGAAGTAAATCCAGACAATTACCTCTCCAAATGTGGCAGGATTGAAAGGCAACGCTGCAGTTCCACTCGTATATTTGGCCGGAGTTTTCATTCGATGAGAGGCCTAAACAACACAGTGTATTAAGAGTGGAACATTCAGACCCACAAACTACAGAGATCTTGGAAAGGTCATAGCTGCTTCTGCAAGCAACTGAAAATGTACCACAGCTCTATAACAAGAAGGGCACAGTGCACTTCATAGTAGTACAATTTAGATCCATCAACTTTATGTCCTTACCAGCTCAGAAAGTGGATACTCAGTTCATGAGAGGGAACAGCAGGCAAGGCTGGAGGAGGACAAAATCCTTTCTTTCACTCAGGGAAAAAAGGAGCACTTTAGAATTTAAAAATTAAGTACTCTGAAGTTCAAAACGCTGAGGCGCCCCAGCTGACAGGCAGCCAGTAAGACTAGAGCAGTCAGGCTTCCCCAGTACAGGCAAGTGGGCACCTTGTGCTGCACCAGCCAAGCTCAGGAGTCTCTGAGACCCAGCTACCTGCTACGTAGAAGGCTGCTACAGCAAGTGTCTTCCATGGAAATGTTAGCTTTGACAAGCAGGAATACTCCAGCAGAAAAACACTCAAAGAGAAGGTTTCCAGTAACAACCACTGCAAAAACTGCAGAAAAGCACGTCCGTATTCTCTAGGCAGTATCAGCCTGGATTCAGCCAGGCAGCCTTGCCTCTGAATAAACACAAAAGGCAGTGTGTTGCACACAAGTCACCAGATCCTCACATCTCTTAACACTCTCAGATCTTCTGCAGCACCATAACTTCAACGACATCCATAACATTTACTGAAAACCTGAATCAGTGAACCAGAAGACAACATCCTTGAGGAATGGATTCTCACCCCATACCCAACAATCAAGTCCTACACTTTCACATATACTTTCTCACAGAGGGAGGATAATGCTAATTCATGTAGGAAAGCCATTTTGCATCTCAGCCTGCTGTGCCAAGATATGCAAGAAAACTTCTCAAGTATCTCCAACACTTGCAGATTGCTCATGGTATCTGAAAACTCACACTTTGAAATAACTAGCAAAAAAAAATGTACCTCCATGATTTAAGATGCCTTCACAATGATCTGCAAAGTGCTCAAATTTTATTATTTTTTTTTAAATTCAGCCAGAAGTGAGGGAATCTTTTATTTCTCAGTAGTGATTAAACTAGGCTGACTCATAGCTATTTGGTGACATTACAGAAGTCAAGGAAAACTTAAAAATTAACTTCAAGAGGGCAGGTATTTAGCAGTGTTATCTAAAGCTCAATCTTAGCTCCTTAATTTTTATATCTATTTAAATAACACGTATTTTTTGACAAAAGCAAGTTTTTTAATAAAGCTTCAAATACTTCATACAGTCGCAGTGTACAACGCCAGCAGAGTATACAACATCTCACAAGAAACCTCTTAGGTATGAGTTCTGGTGTCACAAACATCTTGCAAAACCAGATGTGCTCCAATGTTACATACCTCTGATGTATTTTTTAAAAAAGTAGACTATCAGAGTTTCTCGCGTAACTTTCCACTAGACTTGGGAAAGGTTGTTTACATGGACCTTATTTCCACAGATTGCAATGAAAATGAATAATGAAGCCTTTAAATCTACAAACCAAACTTTTGTTCCAGTATTTTCTTTCCTAGCCTGGAATCTTAATTCTGTCTTATGCATGATACTAATTTTCACCAGCACAACTATTAAGTGATTTTCCTCTGCCTTCAAGAACATGTTTGTTAGCGAACTGTGCTTGTGAAACATCCTGTATTACCACTTTTGAACACTGGATTCCTCACTCTCCACATTTTCAGACAACAGCGTCAAAGCAAAATGATCTCTTTGTTAAAGGATCTGCCTCCTTGTTACTTAACACTTGGCTCTCTTGCAATTACTGCCAGCAGAAGGTAACAATGAGTGCTGATCTTAGCAATGCAGTATTGTGTGGTCTTCACTGATTTTAACTAACTTTATTCTTCGGGGGAAGGTGACCGAGACACATGAAGGGAAGCAGGGATTATTCATTACCAGGATTGTCATTTACCAGGAGAGAAGCATTGTACCTTGTCTTGAATGTAATGGACCATTTCAGGGAAGGAAGGCATCTGCTTCCCGTAACTCTCCTTTTCATTTTTTCCAGGAAATGTTCTCAGAACGCGCTGGGCTTCTGCATGTACCTCCTCTCGTCTTTCAGAAGAAAAGATGAGAAACAGACATTATTTGCACAGAATAAATGGGCTTTAATGAGCAATAAGGTATCTTGGGAAGCTAGGACAGTTTTTAAGTGACAAGCATATTTTTTTTGAAAGTAAGAAAGAGGCAAAAAGCGTGCATCAGAATTTTTAATGATTTTTTAATTTTAGAGAGGGGGAAGAAAAAGGGTGGGGATGAGCAGCCTCTACAAAACATGCAGATCAGTCCACTTCTCTTACATCCTGCTAGTGTTCGCTACCAGGTCCTAGCTGCCACATCCTTGTTTCCCTATCTGTTCCTCCTCCCCATCACTTCCTATCAAGCTTCACCTGACAGCAGCAGGTTTATCACTATCTACTTAGCAGAAAATCAGCTCCTGAAACAGGGTTGACACTGCAGCGACAGAGCAGTCTGTTGCAATTGATCTGTTTAGCTTTGCTTAGTTACATAATAGCTACTCATATAAAAAATTAAGGAATTAAAGTAAGTTGGAAAAACCCCCCATCACTTAAATTGCAGTAACAGAAAACTGCAAATGAAAGGGTTACGGTAATTTAATGAGTCAACTGCTCCTCAGAAGAGAGCGGCAACTCTCACAAGTGCATGCTCCTAAGTCTTTGCAAATACAGGCTAAAAATAGACTGAGAGAATTTGCCAGGAGAAATTCTACAGCTGCTGTAAAGGTGATTTCAGTCAATGCATTCTTACTTTGCAATTGCAATTTATCATTAACATGAAGTGCTGTAGTGATAGCGGTTCATCTAAAACAAGAAAAAGAATCCAAGCCAAAAGCTACCCTAAGGCACAGTAACAGTTTTCCACAGAACTGTCAAGAATGTCTATGTAGAGGTTAACTTCCAAATTATCATACTTGATTTTCAGTGAGTTTTTATGTATATGCATGAATACGTTGCATGCATACACACATATATATGTATTCATATTTCATCCAAATACATATTGGATGAAAATATATATGTGTCTGCATGTATACACATATATACATGAATAGAACTTCAAAAGGAAAACAACTTACGGATCTCCTGCAGCTAACAGGAGTAAGTATCTGGAAGGGATATGATCTGGAGGGAATACTGTGCTAGCGAATTTCACAGCCACTTGACGGACTTGAACTTCAGGCTTAAAAAGAAGAGATAAAAACACATGCTTGAGTTTTAAATGAACACTTTAAAGCCCTGCACTCACCATTTGTAAATCATCAGTCATCTGTTTTGTCCTCTGGTATCAACAAAGGTCAAAGAGTTCAGACATTCTAACACACTGTTCTAACTACTAACTCTTCATATGGCAGAAGACAGGGAAAAGAAAAGCTAGATTCTTATATATACACACATGTGGAGAACTGAATGTTTTACTAAATACATGCACATTTTTGGGAATCATAAATCAGGGTTAGCACTAATTCTTACATATGAACTGCCCCACCCAGGCAGTTTTGAAATTAAGAATGACATACGTGATCTATCCACAAAAAACAGAGCTGCATTTAGTAGCAGCACAGCCGGAGGTGGAAAATTGCAGTATTTTAACCCGAGGAACTGAGAACTGCAGAATGCAGGTGCTCACGTATTTGTTATGCAAACATTGGGGATGAAGATCAACAAGGCCTGCACAGAGAAGCAGCAGAAAGAGGGAGTCTTATGGGGCCAGGACAGCCCTGTTTTGACTAAAAAATGTGGACAGATGGAGATGAACGACTTCAACACAATCCTGAAGGCTGTGCCTGAAGGTGCCTTTTGCTTCATTATCCCTAATATGCATACCAAAGCTGACACCCCTGACTGTGCTAATGAGCTCAGAGAAGTACAAGCTAAACATATACAACTATAGTCCCTGACTCTCCACTCAAATCATGTTAAACATCACCCCGGGGGGGAATATAGATAAGGTCAGAATATAAGGTATAGGGAAGGAGTATGTCGCTGCGGGGAGAACAAACTCAGAAGAGGCAGTCGATGGGCCATGCTCCTTCTCCTTCACCCAAGATAGGGATACCTTCTTGGTAAGGATTGTGCTTTCACCTTTTGGTGAGAAATACCCGGGCTAGTATTTTTCTAGCACTATTACTATTATATATTAGCACTATTGCAGTGAGTGGATTTATTAATGGCAATCCTGAATCTGTCGTATCTGTCACTTAGTAAAACACCTACTTGCTATCTTGCACATTGTCTCAGTGCAAGTCCTTAGCAGGGCTCTGAAACAGGCAAGCATGTAGCTTTCATGCAGCAAAAATAAACATTAGCTTAGGGTGGTCATTCTCTCTGGTGGCTTCAGACACTCTCAAAATGGTATTGCCTGGAGACCTAGATTGCTGAGCACCCAGGCAAAAGAGTCATCAGCATGAAAATAAGTCTCCTAGTTACTCGCACAATTACTAGAAATCATAAACATACATACCTCCACAGTCACCCTGAGTACCCATGAAAACACAGAGCATACAAAAAACACTCTTTTGGAAAATCCAGACCCCTGGGGATCTGGATTACAGACAGTAAGTAAGAGAGTCAGCGAAGTGTGGTTTCCTTCAGATTAGCGTCTCAAGGCTGAGTTCCCAGGTATGTTCCCAGGTGCCTTACCATGTTAGAAATCACACAGCACACTGAAATCCCCACTTAACAGTGAACTATCCTTTCTAGCAAAGTCTTGCTTTCACAAAGTTCATCTGAGCGCACACACACAACCCCCATCCTCCCAGATAGGCCAATAGATTCAGTAAGAAAAAGGAGACATGTTCCAAAAGTATACAACAAGTAGTGTCAGGAAACAGGAAAACAATGAACAGCTCTTTTAAAAAAAATTTTGACGCCACTGAAAATACCTTTATTAAATAAGAAGCTACAAGAGCTTCCATCAGGGTACGCTGGGCTCCTTCCAAGTTACTGTATGCTCCAACCATCATAGACAAGGCCTCCTGAATGGCAAGCCTAGTATCAGCATCTTCCTGCAGAACAAAACCAAGAGTTTTCACTTTACAATGTGCAGTGACAGGAATTAAGCAAAATGGGCACAAACTATTAATCATTTCCCAAAGTCCCATCAGTACTCACCTTGCATAAAGCTTCAAAAAACTGCTGTACGAGTGCTATATCCTTGGTAAAGAGCTGAGGCATTCGGCTGAAATAAGATATTTTAATTCATGAAGTTTCTGGGGTTTTAAATTTAAATGCTTCACATTTCACTGGGCCTCCCCTCATCCCATATTTTAACTGTCAAGCTAAACAGAGCCAGCACAGAAAGTTTGCTCTACCTTATCCATTTCCACCATGCAGCAGCACACCCCCTCCCTTACGCAGGGTTTGCAAGGTGATATATTCTATGGACAATCACTCAGATCACCAGCATACCACCGAATATACCACTTGTCTAGTTTCATGCCCTCTGGTCTTTGCTGCACATTCCTTAAATTTACTATTCTGGCAATCCAAGAAGTGGATCTTAAATTCTGTGCATAATTCATGAGCTGCCATTAACTACTGCTAGAGAAGCTATCAGCTAAAAATCTATTTCTTTTCACACCTCTAGAGATGTCACAAGAAGAATGCTTTTCTCTGCCCTGCAGGTGGCCTAAGGTTTGCTGCTGATAAATTAACAGATTACTCTGGAAAAATTATACAATGTCCCATTGCTTAAATGGCACTTCAGTTACCTGGAGAGCTTTCCAACCGCTGAATATGCCATTGACAGCAGTTTTGAATCCTTGAATGACAAAACAATACATAAAATTCAGGAAAACCAGAAATAAATGAAAGCATATCTTTAATAATTAAATATTTACTTTAAATCCTGTCTCCAAAATGCTCAAACATGCTTTCATGGACAAAGAATCCTGGAACATAACTGTAGCCAAGAATAAAAGCATTACATATGAAGCCGTGGTTTTAGCTGGAGCCACAGTTATAGCCAGAACTGTAGTTTTAGCTGGTATGTAAAAGACTCAATATGCTTGGGCAAACAGAATCAGTGGGACAATGCAGGTGTGAGACACGCATTCCACAAGCAGAGCTTATCCCCGAGGGCAGGATGCTGTTATCTTCAGAGATGAAACGCCCCAGGACTCCCAAGGGCCATTAAGATATGCAGAACCAGCCTAGGCCAGCCTTGGGGTCTCTTAACAAAGACAAGGAGTTAACTGAATGGAGCCCATCAACAGGACACCCCCATGAAGACTATCATGAGGAAGTAAAACGACCACCAGAGACCCTGAGGACCACCGAAAGACTGTGTTATGCATGTGGGAGTGGGCGGCAACCTGTTAATGGGTTCTCAGGAAATGGCATGAATATGTATATCTGAACTGTGTAAGAGCTGTACGTCTGGCCCTTCTCGGGGCACACACCAGGTGGAGCCATCCCAGGTGTGCCCAGTGCTGCAGGAAAGACTACCTGCTTAACAGACATCAAGGCTATTGAGTTCTGATTTCAGCCTTTTCACGGCATCACATAGGAACAGAGGAGCAAGATCCTCCACAAGAAACAAAAAATTACGAACGGTGACAAAATGTAAATCACCCCTGGTCTCAGCTAATCACACTTCATTTCAAAAGACACAGCTAAGGAGATTCAGCAAATACATAAAACAGTAGCAAAGGGACAAAAACCGTCCACTGGCCCTAAACAGCAGCTGTACACAAAGGAAGCTGTTTGCACAATGGACTTGCGTATGACCAATGCAGCACATTCATATATGGGCTTAAGTCCTCCTGAACACTCCTTTTTCATGCCCTTTCTAGTGGCAGGGGAGGCCCACATGTTCAAACACCAAATCAGGCCTGAAAGGCACATCCAACAGTTCAAATGAACTAGCAAGAGGACCAAAAGCTGCAGAAGAGGTGATCTGCAACATCAGCCATTCATAAGATACATGTAGGACTATCATGGGTAATTTGCCTTCAGAACTGGTACTGCAAAGACCTCTCCAGGCCAGACTGGCATTTGCAGTTCTGTTTGTAACACCCTTCCCATAGCAATAGAGATCCTGGACAGAGAGGATGGAAGGTGTTATAAGCAGGACTATACAGCTGCTTATCACAGGGCATATGCCTGGAGCTGAGGCTCCTGTGTGCTTTAGAGTAATGAGTAACAGCAGCTAGATGGTACTCTGGCCTCACTCTTTAGGTCATCAACACTACTGTCTCCCAGGACTTTACAAATAGTGTCCAAGCACCTACCCATAGCTGTTAAACAGAACAGTTTCCCTGTATAGCCTTTTAAAGTATCCTTTGATAGCCATCGCAGGTAACCACAAAAGAGATTTATCAGTTCGCATCATAAAGGTATTTGTCTTTTGCTGGTATTCATATGAAGAATTATAGCTCTATAGAAAAGAACCTTTCAGCTTACCTCTTTGTATTCATTGATCAGTTTTGTAAGTCCATTTAAAAGCATTGGGCCTAAGGGCTTTATTTTACTTTCTGGACAACTGCAATTAAGAGACATCAACAAAAAATATTATCTTTCGTATCCCTTAAAAGTATCTTCCCTTAGTATCACTTTTCCTCCTATTTTTTAAGAGGAGAAATTACAGCTTAATGTGTGCAAGCACATATAATACCTGGATTTATGGATTAAGGAAAAAATCCTACTTTCTATGATTTTTAGTACTCCTTCTTTGCCCTTAGTTCAATTACATATTTAATTAACACAGCAGTTTCTAGGCAAATAGCTAAAAAAACCCCTTATGCTCACTGTGAATTACTTACATGATACAAATATGATGCACAAACTGCAAGGACAGACTTCTCAGTTTTGTATTTGTGTTTGCACCAAAGAGTCCATCATAAACCACCTGGTCAAAGGGAATAGAGAGCAGATCAGAGAGTGTCTGGCTTCACTTTTGAAGGGTTTATAATTCCCCTTCATCTTTAACCACAGTCACCAGTCACAGTGCTTCTCTCCCTTAAGTACCGGAGGAACTGTTTTATCAACTGTATTAGGAAGAGTAGCTTTGGAACATAAACACTACCTGAATGTTAGCTGGGAACGTTTCTGCAGCTTGCCTGGATCGCAGGAGATGCGGAACTATCTTTAATTTAACACGAGTGCTGACTGACTCTCGCTTCATTTCTGGTTTCAGAACAGATCCCTGTCAGGAAAAGAGTTGAAATAATATAGTGCATCTTCAGACAGCAGTACTTTTAAGTTAGTTAAATGACCTTCTATTGTAAATCAGAACACACTGAGACAGAGAAAAATATTCAATAGAAAAAATACTCAGTGATAGCAAAGACCAAATGAAGTGATGGATTTAAGAAACATGTCCTCTCCAAATAAAATAAGACAATTTAAAATTACAGTTTCAGAAATTAAGCAGATATGCAACTCTGAAAGCACATCTTACCTCCTTAGTTTTCAGCGGTATATCCCCAAGATACACTTTATACATTTTGTTGATGATAGCTGGATTGTTCCAATCAATTAAACTAAAGAAAAAAAAAACATGCAACACCAACATGTTACGATTCCAACTTCTGATTACTTAAAATATATGTTTACAGCATGTCACATCATATGTATACTCTTTCCAAAGTTTCAGTGGATCTAGTCTGACTTCTAATCACTTTTCCCACATCCACAACTGAACAATGTGATTGCACTGACAAGTTCTGACAAGATAATTGCAAATGATTTGTGAAGAACCCACATGCTCCCTTCTCTCCCACTGAAGCAAGACATACAACCCATGATAGTCTATCAGCTGAATACAGAATGGTCATCTGTTAACAAATTTCTCCACATTCCTCAACCTTGGTGCTTTGACATTTCAATAGAAAAGAATAGAGTACTTTTAGTTATAGAATTACTTCATCTTGGTGTCTCAGACAAACCTGTCTGCCCACAGTAACCAACTAATGCTAGCAATTTATGAGACTGGAACACACACACATATTCAGAAAACACCCTGCAGAAAACAAAAAATTAACATACACACTTCAAAAAACCAGGAGACAGACCATTTTTTTGTTTCAGTAAGGCAACTGATTTCCAAACAAGTGAGCTGTGAAGTAGCATATATTCCTCATAAAAGACAGTTAACATTGCATAGTAACATGTATTTTGACCACACATGTTTTGCTCTCCAAGTAAAGAACACCAATACAAAGGAAGAGACAAGACAAGCAGCAAAGGGAGAGACTGCCTTCATTAACCAGGCTATCATCACTTACTAGAATCATCTCCCCTGCCATGACTGAGGCACATGAATAGACTTAAATGGAGAAGGTCTCATTAAATACCTGACTCCAGGTTAAATCGTCCTATACCGCCAGTAATACAGAAGCCACCTACATATTTCAAAGGCAGGCCACTCGTACTCAAAATCTCCTCAATGAAGTAGCAACTTCACATGATTACTGACTCTGCAAACAGTACCAGCAGCAATCACTCTTGCTTCTTGCTGGGTTAAACACAGAAGCATTGTCTTTAGACGATGAAAGGTGGACTGCAAACAAGCAGAAGGTTTAATAATGCAGAAAATGGTGGCCACCAAACTTCCTAGACTATGTTCCACTTCACAGCTGCAGTCTCTGCTTTCTGAATAATTAAATGAAAGCATAATTTTCTGGGAAGGACAATACAGACCAGTTGACCAGCTGAGTTCACTTACTAAGGTCTTACTGACCATCAATGACCCACAGAGAACAATTCAGAAACCAAGGAATAAGAAAATGGCTCCAAACAACACAAAAAATGACTGAAAACACACAGCTAGAGCTGTCAGCTCCAGAGCCAAGTGACGTTCCCAGACGGAAGACTGAGCCACACCATTCTCAGCCCCATGTGAATACATGGCAGCTTCACAGGTAAATGGGGGACTGCAGCCTTCCTCCTTTCAGAGCACAGACTCTCTGGAGCACAATTAATTGCAGCTCGCTTTGTTAGGAATCCTAGAACCATCTTTTCCAAACATCCAGATGTGTACCTTTGTTTGCTTTTTAGTTCAAGGTCTGCTGCAGTGGCAACACTGTGTCTTGTATCACTGGAGGCTACAACCAGGTGTATAACAGCTTCAAGTTCTGGCACTTGCTCAGCTTCGATGAACTTCACTATCCCCAGCTTACACTGTTCAACAGTGGGGAAAGCAAAGGCAGTGTTACTGACAAGAAAGCATTTGTTACCAAAACTGTAGCAGTTCAGCTGTCTGAAATGATGGCTTCTGCTTGCTAAAGTTCACATGCTCTCTGGCTTTTTAGCAGCACCTTCATCTCGCCTCCTAACAAAGCAGTCACCTGCAGCAAAGTATCGGCATTACAATTAGGGATACTCTGCTCCTTCTCTGATACAAAGGGATGTTTCATCAACGTAAGAGAGTTTTGCAGCCTTGCTATTTTCAGAAGGAAAGCGCAAGAGTAGGCCGCAGTCATGGCTGCTTCCTAACCAGCTCCAAGAACTGCCAGTACCTCCCACCCCATCTCACCACTGCAAAACTCCTCAAGGGATCATGCAAAGTCCCTCAAATTTCCACAGGGCAAGTAAAGACCTGGTCATAATTAGTAACATATTTTCCCTCTGGCCTTCCATTCCTGTCTGTAGCCATCCCTGTTATCACCCCCACTTCACCAGGAACCAGCCCTGCAGCCTCAAGTACCTGTTCTAGCAGCTCCGGTGTCCATGGGCTATCTCCAATTACCCTTTTGGCTGCGTAAAAACTCATCCCTGGAGGTGGCTGAGGGATTCCAGGACCTCCCACGCTACTCGATGAAGAGCCCTGGGCTGAGGGCATGTTTTGTCGACTCTGAGATTCATTCAACACGAACCTAAGCAGGTGGGAAAGGAGTTTCATTAGAGGCTTTGCCAATCCACATTGCCAGCTGAGTTAAATGCTGGAAGAGAGGAATAAACATAACCTGTCCAACTTCACGTATCCATCTTTAATTAGTCCCATGAGCTCGACATAAGACAGAATTTTATTCAGTTGAGACTCAGTTACCAGTAATTCCAGCATATTCTGCAAGAGCCGTAACAATCTCATTGTAACTCTTTGAAAACAAACCTCAGTTGGGAAAGGGAAGAGTTGACTGGCATTTCTGAGAAAGGATATCTCAGGTTATGAACCAGAAAGAATGATCTCTTTTGTATCAGAACTGAATACTCAGACAGTACTACGTTCAAGGAACTTGTACTAAAACCTTTAACTGCATTTGTATGATTTCTACAAAAAACACAAACCTAACAAGGAAACAATGAAGCATAAGCAGCATGAAGCAGCAGGTAACAATCTTTGATATAAAAAAATAAGATAATGTTTTGGAAAATGGTAGGCTTAGTGCTCAGCAGGGAAGGAAAGCAAAAACCATAAAGGTTAAGCTTAAAGATCTTTGTCTTTTTGGAGACTGGGCTAGTCTGGCTGTCCTGTGCACATCTCTATGCTCTCACAAAAGCCACTGCACCTCTCCCTGTATTGTTGGAAGCTCGTTAACACATGAAGGCATCAAAACTTTAGTGCAGAGACCAGCAAGAAATCTTTTGCCCTAGACAGCCATAATCTGTTCTGCACTCAGCACACAGGCAACAATGGAAAATAAACCATCTTAACAAGAAGAATAAACATTCATCCCAGATCTCAGTAGTTAAAACTTTAAGCACTTGAACTTGATCATGAGCTTTAAGCCCTGCAGTTAGGCTTTCTGGTTATTTTACTGCATGCAGACTGGCAAGGCTAATTCACGACCGGGAAATGACAGAACAAGGTGTAACAGGCATAAATTCGCTGTAAACAGCTACAAACAGTTTCATCCAGGAGAGCAAGACTTTAAGAGACAGATGTCCAGAGACAGAGGCTAGCCAAAGACATTCTCAGTACCTTCTGGGAAGAAAATTAAGCCCTCACTCCTATTCCTATAGTCTCTCTGAGTAGTTAAAAACTATCTTGCTTGGACAGAGTACCAAAGAAGGAAGGAAGTGAAGCACAGTGAAGAAAGACTCATTGCAAAGCCCAAGGGCTTCAACTGCTGAAGCTCTAGTCACAACAGTGTGGAGGTGAAGGTAAGAGCATCAACCTGGGCAAACCAAAGAGAAGCTGTGAGCAGAGGAGTAGGCCAGAAATTTTAAACTATAAGCTGCAAGACTCTAGGCACTGAAATGGTACAGAACTGACACCCCAAACATCTTATGATAGTACGACCCCCAGTAAAACTACATGGAAAAACATTACATGCTCACTATATTGAAAGTCATTCCTTAAGGTCGATCCACTTGTATGAGCAAGAGCTAGGTGCTCTGAAAAATCCTACAGGAACCAATGAAATGTCAGGAAAAAAAAAGAAGTGTGTTTTACTGTTAAAATTATTTCTACTTTGTTTTAAAGCAAAAGCTCTCCTAGCAATAAAAAGACACCAAAAAAGTTAGTGGAAAACAGATTTTGAGAAAGTATTAGGTTTAGACACTAGGAAACTCCTAACGAGCAATGATCACTAAATTCAAATTGCTCTGTACATCACTCTTGCTCTTAGAAACAGTGTTCACACCAAGACATGGCATTACAGTTAAAAAACTCTTCATCAGAAGACAGGTGAAACACAAATCATGTTACCGAAGGCTGAACTCTGGAAAGCACAAGTTTTCAGACATTATGCTTGCCTATTACCTTGCAAGAATAAGCCTTAAAACTCAACTGCAGGAAGATAAGCACACTTTTTTGATCTGCCTTCTATTTAAAAGGTTTAGTTATTTAACAAATAGCTCACGTCTTATAGTTTCACTTTGATCCCCCCGAAGGTCAAGGACAGAATAGTAAAATACCCAATTAAGTATAAACAAGGCATTTGTTAAACAAGGAAGGTGGTGATCCCATTCTTAAAATTAGGACCCTTCTTTGTATCTTTCTGAAACATGTAACTGGCTTTACTAGAGCTAGGTAACAGCATATTTTAAATGAGTTTCCAAGGGTGCAGTTTGTAATATTGCACATATAAGAAACACATGAATACTAGAGAAGACAGGTATTAACTCTTACTTACCCATAAGGCATAAGAAGAACATCCAACATAAAGTCCAAAAGCAGCTGTACAGTCTTTGGTTTTTCAGCAAGATTAAATGGAGAAGCCGCTGCTTTCTAGCAGGGTACTTCATGTGAAAAAGGGTTGGTATTAGAAGATGCATTAGGCTGAAAAACAATTACGTTTACTGCAACCATATAAAAAACACACACGTGTTTATTCTTAACATTCAAGAAATCTTTAACAAACCTGGTTCTTAATTTTAACAAAAAAAAAAAATTTAAGAAGTTAAAACAGTTAAACTGATTCACAATCCAGTGGCCTCTGTGAGCTGCCTGATGTACTTAAAGATGGAAGGCAGAAGATAAATCAGGATTTGCACTTACAAAAGAATATATATGACTGCATACATGCACATGCATTTGGAAAGATAGAAGTCATTGTCTTTGTCCAGTCTTTTAATGTTTAAAGTTTTAAATCTGAGTCTGTCTAGAGCAGAAGTTGATCAACATTATTCGGGTTCATCAGAGAGTGCACACAGACAAATATACTGATCATATAACAGTTCCCAAAGCAATCTTCAGTCACATACTTGCTTTTTGGACAGGGCAAACCCAGAGTCCCTGAGAAGACAATCAAGTGTTTTCTGATCTCACAAATGGAGGCAAGATTTTACTGCAAGACTTTTCAGTAAGTTCATTTTTGAACTATAACATTTACATTGTTATAGTGATATAGAGTGGATGAAGATATGATTTTAATGTGATTCGCCAGTGCCAGCACGATGAAAACCCATCTCAATGTAGGTAAGATGCAGGTCCATAATTAACAGTTTTCTAATTCTGAGCACAGAGCAATTTTTTTTTTTTACTTAGTGCATCTCAGTCTTTCAACTTAGAAATTTTAGTTATCTCACAATGTAGAGTGGCCAACCTGAGACATTTACTGACATTTCTGTTCTTGGACAGAGAATATTTACTGAAGGTCTAACCTTAAGCTGGAAATCAGAATTTGATCAAGATGGATATGGGATATGGATAGGCATATCCATCACAACACAGACCTCTTATGACAGGGAGTCTGCTGCTACAGATCCTGTATATTACTGCCACATTAGACTATATTAACTCTTTGTACCTCCCAAACCACTGAACTGTTGACACAAATTGTTCAAACCAAGAACATTCTAAACAATGAAGATATTGTCAAGGAAAAAAAATAATCTAGCAATTGGTTCAAGTTATTTTACTAAAACAATACCAACAGAATACACTCCCAAGAGTATCCAGTTATACCTGTCTTGCTGTGGTTGAGGTTTTCCTTCCATTGCAGTGAGAAGAGTTGGAGCCAATTCACATTGTTTTTCCACAGGCAGACGGGGGTATCCCATCTTAACATAAATTATTGTAAAATTCTAAAGGAGTAGAAAAAGCACACAGCATATATATATCAACAGTGCAAAAGAAATATCTGTTCTTTAAACACTTTTTGTATGTCGTGTTACACAGGTGCGTGTTGGAAATCCTATCTGTTTTGGAAGACAAATTTCTTAATTCCAGTGCTCACCGGACTGAGAGCTATTAAAGGGGAGGCTCAACAACACTGAGGTGTAGGTGTTGCTGAGCCTCCACTTTAAAAGGAGGAAATCAATGCAAAAAATCCTCTCTCCCTGCTCTTAATTTCAGCTTTACCCGAGCGACAACTTCAAAGAAAGCAAATGTCATGTTCTGTCTTAGCTACTTCTGAAATAAAATAGAAAGCGATACTGAGTAAATACGAAGTCAGCAACACAGACAAGGTTTGTCTTGAAAATATGTGTTTTAATGATCCTAACTGAAAGCTCCAAATGCAATCCAAACAAAGTCCAGTGACAGGACAGCACAGCAGAGCAATACTGAATACCGTACAACCTAACTAGTATTCCACTTATCCAAACAGAGCCAAGAACTGTAGAGGTATGAGTCATGTGTTCACCGACCTTGCCGGAAAGCACTTCACATCTTTGTAGACGGCCCTTGTTATAATTTTATGAAGCTTCATGGCACAAAATATGTGCCACTCAGCTACGTGAATAAAAAAAAATAGATTTTTGACATGACCAGCTAAAAGCAAAGCTTATGTCAAGTTTGTCTTCACATAAGATGGTTTTTAAACTGCTCTATAGAATATGTTCACTCTAAGAAGAAGCCTTCAGCCATTTCTAAAAGGTGAACTCTGGATAATCCCACTTTCTTAAAGATAATCTGAGATTACTGCTGCATTACTGCTGTTTGAAGTCTAAGTACTTCTCCACCAGTTGCTAAAGTGCTATGTTTTCCATTTATGCTACATATGACTGAATAGTCAAGTGAGAACTGGAAGTTTTCCCCCGATTTTATAATTTCTTTTTCATGATGGTGATTTGCAATAGACCTACCACAGCTGAAACGAAAATCACTTTCATAGGTTCATAAAAACATTTTAAAACTATTTCCATTTTTTAAACTACACTGAATGAAACTATCTAGTAAAGTTTCTCCACATCAAAAACATCTTTTTTTCATCTTTTCTTGTTCAGCCAATGACTGAACCTGACCTTAAAAACACATAAAAATACTTCTTATGTGTTTGGAGAAATACAGATGTTTTAAGTAAGACCCTGATCCTGCATGTATCAGTATACAGGCTGGTAGCTGCTTGCAAAACGGAACTTGTGAAAATCAACAGACCCCCTACAACAGAAACAGTAACAATTCAGGCATTCATGATACATCAAGAGTAATTAAAGGTAATTTGAAGAAAATAGTGTAGGTGCTTTAGGAAACCAAGTTTCATCCACAACAGACTATAAAGTTTGAAAAAAGACCTCTCAAAACATTAACCTCATGACAGTAACATACTTGCTAGGAAAAGTGAAAAAGCTAAATACAGGGGCTAAATACACTGTGCTTGCTACAATTAAATCAGCAACACTTACAGTGACAAAAGACACTGCAGAAGGATCTTGATACTGAACTAGCAACGTCTCTACTGGAAGTTGAATTTTTGGACGACTTTTGATGCGCTTATTCAGATGAACCAGCAGCTCCATGACCTGATAGGAAGAAAACAAAAAACTTGAAAGAATCACCACTAGTTTTACTACTTTGGACTCCACCTATCACCCTCGGTCAACTAAGCAGGCCTATTATAAACAAATCAGGCCTGAGCTTCCTCATTATTTAATGTCTAAGAAAAAAGCAACCATCATTTACTGTGTTATCTTGAAGTCACTTTGACATGTCTCCGGTCACTCTAAAGACAAACACATTAAAAGTCCCAAACTATGCTACAACTCATTATTAACAGAAATGTGAGGAAGAAATGATTACTGAGGTTGATCAGTTCTTCCTACACAGTTGGTTACAACCCCTCAAAACTGAGTCTTTGGAAATCTGCGTTGTTGCTCTGTCTTGTCACTGTAGAGTAACTCCATGACACAGAACAAAAAAACAACGAATAAAATCCCACCCGTAACAAAGTTATCATGCAAGTGTATGAAAACTATGTTTGGAGCGAAACAATACAGGACCGAAACCCTTTAGGGGAGAGAAGTCAAGAGGGGCCCCATAAGTGCTGGGCAGAAGGGATGTGCAGCCCTGCCCTGGACAGGGAGAGCCCTGGCAGTGACACCGGTGAGGACAGGCAGCAGCTCGTCGGGGTGGCCCTAGCTCTGGTGGGCAGTGGACAGAGCCAGGGCCAGAATGCCTTTGAATAAGACTGGTGCAGAGCGGTGCTTTCTCCGTGTACTGGGTTTGCCTGGCCAGATTTCGGTGCAGGGAGGGGTCTGTAGGGGTGGCTTCTGCAAGAAGCTACTCAAAGCTTCCCCTAGGTCTGATGGGGCCAACACCAGCTGGCTTTGAAGACGGACATGCTGCTGGCCAAAGCTGAGCCTGTCAGTGATGGTGCGAATGCTTCTGTGAAAACGTATTTACGAAACGAGGAAAAATAACATGCCACAGCAACGGGGAGCAAGAGAGAGTGAGGAGTGACAACAGGTAGAGACACCAAGGTCAGTGAAGAAGGGAGAGCAGAGATTCCTCTGGGTCATGAAGACCATAGTGAGGCAGGCTGTCCTCCTGCAGCCCATGGAGGTGTCAAGGGCGTAGATGCCCACCTGTGGCCCGCGCAGAACCCCACACCAGAGCAGATGGATGAAGGGGGTTGTGACCCTATGGGAAGCCAGCACTGGAGTTGGCTCCTGCAGAGTCTGTAGCCCATGGAGAGAGGAGTCCATGCTGGAGCAGGTTGGGTGGCAGGACTTTGTGACACCATGGAAGACTTGCGCTGGAGCAGTTTCCCCCTGAAGGACTGCACCCCATGGAGAGGCTCACGCTGAGGCAGTTTGCCAAGAACTGTCTCTCATGAGAGGACTCATGTTGGAGAAAGTGTGTGATGATCATCTCCCGTGAGAGGGTCCCCACAATGGCCCAGGGGAAGAGTGAGGAGTCCTCCCCCAGAGGAAGAAGGAGCGGTGGAGACAACATCGGATCAACTGACCGCAACCCCCATTCCCTGGCCCACACATCACTCAAGAGGAGGAGGTGGATAAAATGGGATTGATGTTAAGCCTAGGAAGAAGGGAGGGCTGGGGGGAAGGTGTTATTTTACGATCTGCTTTTATTTCTCATTCCTCCTCTCCAATTTTGATTGTTAATAAACTTCCCCAAAAATCAAGTCTGTTTTGCCCAGGATGGTAGCTGCAAGTGATCTCCCTATCCTCATCTCAAACCCTGGGCCCTTTAGTATATTTTCTGCCCCGCTTCTTGCTGAGAAGAGAGTAACAAAGTGGCTGCGGTGAGTACCTGGCCGCCAGCCAGGGTCAAGCCACTACACTTGTGATGAGAACTCTCAAGTAGTGGAGCAGAGGCCCACAGAGTTTGTGTATCTCTATCTTGAGAAGTTTTTCAAGAGCCATCTCGATAAAACCTTCTGCACCCTGGTGTGAACTTGTAAAGGACTGTTTTAAGTAGAAGGTTGGTCTGGAAATCTTCTGAGGTCCCCTCTAGGTTCAATTATCTCATGATCCTACAATGTCAGTAAGTAATTTCTTAGCACAGCATCAGCAAAGAGTCACCTGTAAATCCAGTAAATGAGACATCATAACCGAATGGACAATCTTGAAAAACTACAGTCTCCACTCTGGAACAGGAGGTTGAGAAATCACACTGCATACCCTATCAGTTGCTCAAGCAAGGTGATGCAAAAATATGTGATATTAAATGGATATTACTCCAGTAAAACCAGACAGAGCCAGTTCTAGGTGCATGCTGACTCCAAGAAATT